TGGAAGTGCCTTGCTCAGCTTTATGAGCGTGGGATGGTGGTGGCTGCCACAATTGTTGTGAATTGTGGTGCGCCAAGCGAAACCTTCTCAGCTGCTCGGCATGTCCCACCACCAGATGATCTTTCACCTATGATGCGAAGGCCAAGGCCCTTCAGGTCCTTTGCTCGGTTGTTCGAGCTTGATGGACTGCGTCCTACTGAGTGATCGGTTTTGGCTTAGGAAAGTTATAAATAAGTTGTATCACTTTAAGCACTTGCAGTACTTATAAGTCAACTTAGAAAACTTAGCAACCGGTGTTATTTAATTTAAATGCTAAATTCGCTAAGTTTAACTTATAAAACTTATAAGTTATCTAAGTTTTTTGCTTCAGGAAGCATTACTTTGGTGCTCCTATAGAGTTATAACTCGATTAGAACCTATAATTATAACTAAGTTACTAAGTCATAACTTCTTAGCTAACTTTTTGTGACTGTGTTTTTGCTATTAAAAAAAAAGCGTCTTTAAAATTGATCAAACTTGTTCTTTTTGATGATATTGAGTGTTTGCTGTTTGAAGCGGTTTCAACTGCTTTAAAAAATGCAAAATGGAGCGGTTTTCAAATCGCTAAAAGCTGTTTTTGTTTGAACAGCCGTTTTCAGCATGTCAAACACTATAATTTATCACGTGTTAAAACCCAAACTGTGAATGAAGATGTGTTCATGACCACTAGAGAGGATGTATTGCTTGAAGAAGTGTCCAGGTGTTCACTTTACCTTGGCTAAATGCTGCAGTGTCCCTTTGACAAAACTCAATTTTTGCAGGATATCCTAGATGTCTTCAACGTAATTACAATATACATCAACATACCCATACCTGCCAACAAATGCATGCAGTATTCAAAACAGAAATGCAGCATACCCTTCTTCATAAGTGCAATCTTCCTTTGGAGCAACGCAGTGTGTTTTTGCAGAACAATATCCCTATGAAATATCAAATGTTCCTTTAAAAGATACACCATGCCCTTTGGAGGAGTACAGTGTGCATTTAACAAAATTTCCTTTGAAAGGGGTCCTCAAGGTGAAAGGGGTCCTGGCCTAGAAGCCTCCAAGATTAATTTCGACCGAGTTTTTGCCTTTGTATGAAAAACTCGGTCGAAATTAATCTTGGGGGCTTCGCGCGAATAAGGAACATTCTTGGCCAGGACCTCTTTCACCTTGGGGGGCCCTTTCAAAGGAAATCTTGTTATTTCCACATGTCTAACCTTCCTTTCAAAGGAGCAGTATCCCTTTTAGAAAAGCCAATGTTGCTGCACAATATGCAGTATTTTTGACATAGAGCATTCCTTTCAAAAGTGCAATATGTTTTGAAATGTGAGATTATTTCAGAATGTTTTTTCGCTCCTTACAACAGAGCATTGCCCTTTATGGCAACACAATCTTCCTTTGAAAAAACAGCATTCGTGGAAACCTGGATTACTTTTCACTGATATATGTATCTAATCTACTCTAATCTAATCCAATTCAATCCAATCCAATCCAGATATATCTCATCTATATAATCCAATCCAATCCAATCAAACCCAAACAAATCCAATCCAATCCAGTCCAATCCAATCCAATCATATCCAAGCCAATCCAATCCAATCTAATGTAGTCTAAGCTAACCTAATTCCAATCCAACCCAATTCAATCCAATCTAACCTAATCTAATCTAATTTTAATCCAATCTTATCCAATCCAGTCCAATCCAACCCAACCCATCCCAATCCATTCCAATCCAATCCAATCTATCTAATCTAATCTAATCTAATCTAATTCCAATCCAACCCAATCCAATCCAATCTAACCTACTCTAATCTAACCTTATCTAATATAATTTCAATCCAATCCAACCCAATCTATATAATCTAATCTAATCTAATTCCAATCCAATCCAATCTTATTGAAGTGCTGTAAAGGCCTCTGTGGTATATGGGTGGGATATATTGAGATATACTAGGGGAAACTGGGGTTTACTTGGGGATAGACCGTATACCATGGTATACTGACCGTATACCATGGTATACTGGTGGTATACTGGTGGCATACTGGTGGTATACTGGTGGCAATCTGGTGGTATACTGGTACACTCCCTAATCCAATCTAATCAAATCAAATCTGATCTGATCCAATCCAATCCAACCCAACCCAATCCAATCCAACCTAATCTAATCCAATCTAATCTAATCTAATTCCAATCCAATCCAATCCAAGCATATCCAATTCCAATCCAACAAAACCAAATCCAATCCAATCTAACCTAATCTAATCTAATCCAACTCAACCCAATCCAACCCAATCCAAGCCAAGCCAAGCCAATCCAATCTATCTAATCTAATCCAATCTAATCTAACCCAATCCCTCAGTCCCTCACCGAAGCCTGTAAAGACCTCTGTGGTATATGGGGACGTCTCAAAATGAGGCGCGCCCGTTTTGACCCCCCAAAACGCTACTTTAAAAAAAAGGGTTCGCCTCATTTTGAGACATTCCCATATGGGTGGGAGATATTGGGATGTACTAGGGGAAACTGGGGTTTATAGTCAGCAATGTCAATATCAAAAAACGTACTCATTGGCTGCCTTTGTTTTTTCATAGTCTTCTGGCATGTTTTCAAAAATAAGTCAAAAACAAAATTGCTTAATCCATGCCCCAAGCCCCTAACCTTCCCCTAAGGATACCTGTTTTTCCTTGGTTTTTACATGGTTTCTAGTGGAACCAGAGACCTAAAGCAAGCAGAAACAACCACAAACAAATTTGCAATGCCTAAGGGGGAAAAAGTGGCAAGAGTTAGATCCTGCCACTTTTTTGCCAGTCCCTCAAAAGAAACAACGAACCAAGAAAGCAAAACACCAAGAAACCAAAAAAACAACAAAAAAACAAGATTGCACACCCAAAGGGGAGGGGGTCAGATGCAGTTTGTTGGGTCTTGTTTTTTTTTGTTTCTTGTTTTTTTTGTTTTTTTTTGGTTTTTGTAAAAAGAAAAGAAACTGCAAAGGTGAGATTGCAAAGAGCAAACTAACCCATTGCAGGTGCATAAAGCACCTAAAAAGGCGCGCTCCCACAGTGGCCTGCTCTGTTTAAAAACCAGTTGCACATTCCCTCAGCCATGGAAGCGGTGAAAACCGCTCATTTTGCAAAAAAACACTTCGAAGCGGCTCAACAGCTGCAATTTTAAAAAAATAGTGTTTTCAATACAATAAAAACAAATGTTTTTCATTTTTTCTACATTATAAAACTGTGACAAAATAGTTGATATTTGCTTCACTTCATAACTTTTCATAACTTTTTGTATAACTAAAGTTATAACTACGTATAACTCTATAGGAACACCATAGTATGCTTCGAGCTTATTTTTTACCAGTGTCAAAAACAAAAAAATCATGTTGCCTCCCAAAAGGCCATGAATTGGCTTGTCTACGTTTCCGTGAAGCGCACGAAAAAGGAAGTTGATGATGCTGCACGGCCACCTGAAAAAAAAAGCAGTTCAAAACTCATCCATGGAATGATGAAAAATGCAAACATGTACTCAAAGGAAGGTTGAGAAACAGGGAAAATGCAGAATGTATAGGAATGATGTATCGAGATGTATCGGACAAAAACAAATAAAACTATACATGTATAACTCGAAAAAATGAAGTTATACATGTATAACTCGAAAAAAATGAAGTTATACATGTATAACTCGAAAAAAATTAAGTTATACATGTATAACTCGAAAAAATGGAGTTATACATTCCTATACATTCCTATACACTCCTATACATTACATATTTTCGCAGGTTTTGGGATGTGTGTTTTTAAAAGTTCATGTTTTTTAGAAAAGATGTCTGGCACTTTCGGCCCAATGAGCCCCAGTGTTTCAAAGCAACTCTTTGCCAAGAAAGTCTTCCAAACACATTCCGTTACCAAAAAATAGAACTCAAATGGAAAAATACTAAGTTTTGAACATGCAAAAAAGCTAAGTTTACTAAGTTAGTTATAAGTTCCAAACATAGGTTTTTTAGAACATTAACTAAAATAACTTACAAAACATACAAAAAGAACAAATCGTATAAGTAGGTTGCAACTAACTACCTCAAAATAACTTAAAAACTTAGCTGAATTAGTGAAATTACAATCGCTTATAACCTGGTCGCAACCATACTTGCAAAGCAGTACAAGTAAGCCAAAACCGATCACTCAGTAAAGAGCTGCGTCAATTCAGACAGGGAAGTGCCTTTATGTTCCAGGCCATTATGGCCTGTATCTGACACCTGACATTGGGCGGACTCTTCCTGAGTGAGCACCCAGCTCCTCCATAGGACGCAGAAAAGGCATCGGCTTGGACCACCGCCATCCTCCAACTCCTTAAGACCCATCCTGATGATTCCTGATGTGGCTTTATAGATTTTTGATCACTGGAGATGGGGTGCTCCTGTGAGGAAGCCAACAGACCATTTTAGCCTGCGCGTGCCTTCCTTGGCACGCTCGATGTTTGCCTGTGCGGACAAGCGAAGTAATACCCGACCCGGATCGCTATTGGCAAAGCTGAGAATGGCACTGCGGTATGTAAAGAATATCCGCCTTTTTTTGCCGCTGGAATGGCCAAAGCAATTGTCGACCAGCTCTGTACAGATAGGCGACAATCAGCGAGCCACCGTCTTTTGTCCCTTGAGGATTCTTCCCTGAAAGAATGGTTCAAAGAGGCACTTGCTGAGTGCTCTAGGATCTATGAGAATAGCACGCATCTGCCGGACTATCACGGACAGTAATCCTTGAAATTGGAATTGCCAAACCACAAGGTACCAACTTATAGTCTGCACTCTGCCAAGGCAAAACTAGGAACCTTGAAAACCCTGCTTGCATTCAACTGGGGAAAACCCGACTATGCCACATAAGATGCACAAGTCAAGTCTTATCGCACCGTCTGAAATCAGGCAGCAAAAGGCAGCAAAAGGGGATGCCAAAGATTGCCAAAGGATGCCATGAGATGCCAGAAATCTCCTGACTCTGTTGCCGTGTATCGCCAGCTTGAATAGCTGCCAATAAAATTGTTTCCGGCCTGGCGCTGGATCTGGATCTGCCAGCAAGTAAAGGTACGATGTGCTCACATCATGATGGTCCAATGCGCACTCCGAAGATTTTGTGCATCTGCGGTGCATCCTCTTCCGTTAATGATTGGATGATGCATAAGCATATGCATATCTAATAAAACATAATATAACGCTGCTCTAAGATCCAAGCGCATCCAGCTCCTCCAAGTCTGCAACTTTTCCAAGCCTCACATCCTGAGACCAGGCAAAGCCGGCCAAGAAGTTACAGCAAAAATTCGATCCAAAGTGGGAGGACATAGCGAAACCCTACGAAAGCACTGGTTGGTCGAGGAAGAACGCAATAAATGCAATAAAAATGCAATGCAAATGCCAATGATTTCCAGATTTCACGGTGCCTGCTCCTTCTTTGCTTGATTCACCTCTCACGACAGTCACGACAGTCACGACACTGACGGCCGTTTTGAAAATGTGTTTGTCACGGTGCGCCGGACCCGGGCCGCGCCTTCTCTTCGGCGGCCTTACGGAAGACCCGGACGACCTGTCACAGGCGTGGCGTGGCTTCTCCGTGTCTGTGCCGTTTCGCCCTTCGTTTCGCTCTGAGCGCCTGCTCCAAGGACTGGATGTTGGCAGCTTGACACGTCGCTCGGTACTGGTGCAAACCTTACAGCGAAGAGTCCTGGTTTCAGGTCCTCAGGTCCTGGTTTTGCTATGCTCTTTGATTCTCTTTGATTCTCTTTGATTCTCTTTGATTCTCTTTGCTTTTTCAGTCTATGTTGATGTGTCAATACCTTTCTTTTTCCTTTGGAAACCACGATGCACCTTCACGTGCAAAGCGCATCTTCTGGAGTTCCACGCCTTCGGGTTGCATTGCATCATGATTCATCATGATGCATTGCATCGTGCAATCAAGGTCAATCATTGGCAGGGCACAACTGATCTGCTCTCAGAATAACATCAAGTTGGTACTGGTAGTAGTGGTACTTAGTGCTGATAGTACTGGTGACAGAGCAAAAAGTTGTCGCTAAGCACATGACACAGCTGGAGGTGGCGCTCAATGATCTTTTCGAGAGTGGGGGACCTGGCAACAAGTTGCGAGGTCCAGCCCAAGAACCGGATGCCAGCTGAACGTTGATGCACTTTTGATGACAGGGCGCAACTACGTGCAACCAACTTTTACAAAATTAAAACCACCCGACATAGTCTGCAGACCCAGGAGATCACTGCCGGTCTAGCCACAAGTCCTGTTGAGCATACAAACATCTTCAGACCTTGAAGCATGACCAAACCAAAAAAACTCGAGGGAACGAAATGTAGTCACGGTCAGAGATAGGAGAACGAAATCAAACAGACCATCGAGCCTAAATGCGTCCGAGCCCCATCTCGTCACATGCCAACGCTGACAATCTCAAAATAGGGACCACGTTCAAGCGATGAAGGTGTACTTTAGTAGAAATGGGACTGCTGTATAGCGAGGTGCAAAACATCCAGCCGGATTGGAATTGAAACTGTAAAACGAACATGTTTTAACAAGTGGGATGGTGCCAGTCATGTATTCTACTAATTCTACAATGTTTTTATGTTTTTCGTGGTAATGTGGTTCTGTTCGAGGGTGTTTTCCAATATTTTGTGGGCATTAGTCTCGGTGAATTCTCAATGCATCACAGAAAATTATAGAACTGTTGAGATTAATACTCCTTTGGGAAGTGCCCGAAACCACAGCGCCAGCACCTTTTTTCCCGTGATTTTTAGATCTTGGCCAAAAAGGCCCCTAATTTTTACTAGGGCAGACCCAACATATTGTGCCCATCGCCATTGCCATGTGCGAACATATTTCCATATCCGGCTATTCAATCTGGATTGAGTCATTTTTGCAAGTTGGCAAATCACTTTTCAACATTCCCCAGCAGGCACTGATGACGCCTGTGTGAATCCAGAACGTGCGACCAGCATGCCTTCTGTTTTTTTGCGAAGTGTTTTTCGAAAAGAGCATGCAACGTGCATAAATTTGTGGGCTGATGCGGTTCCCGGGTAACACTTTGCATCTGAGCAAACAAGTGTTTTTTTGTCCCGAATGCAATTGCGAAATGCAATCAAAATCTTTCACTTCCAAGATCTTTTCTTTGGATTCCACAGGAGGTTTGCCACAGTTGGTGGCACCTGCGAAACCTTGGATCAAGTAGGGGAGCATGTTGCAGCGTAGCGCCAAGCAGCACGTGGCAGCGCAGCATCAAGCCAATGAAGATGTCGAGAGTGTTACCACCCACCCCACCCCACCTCAAACGGACAAGACACGCATAAAACGCACGGTGGGTTTTCAACCCGTACTAGTAGGCTAAGACATGAATATCACAAGATATGACTGTATTGGAGGTAAGAATGCAAAGTTTCAAGTCACCCTCATTGGCTAGCGCAACGATGCGTGACATCTTACGGGTGAAACCCTTTTGCCTTTGTAGACATTTTTTTGCGTGTTTCCCCTCAAAATCACGAATCCTTTCATGGTGCCTACAACTCACAGTGCTAAAGCACTGAGAACTCAGGTAGCTACGGCTGCTTCAGTGAAATCCGAAAGTGAAACATTGATCATGGAGCCACGGCACAGGATTGGAAGTGCCTAAAAGAACTGGTTGCTTAAACATGCTGAAGCTGACCATTGATTCTTCCACCTTTTGTGCAAAATCGCATGGTGGAGGGTCTCCAAAGCTTCATTCTGTTTGCCCACCTCGGTGCCACACAACGTCGTAACTGTGTCCATCCCAAAATCGTGTCGATTTTAAGTCGATTCATCTGCATCCGGTCGCATCCTTGATTTCACACATTGGCAAAGCAAAGGTTGGTGTAAAATGTCGCAAAGTGTTTGGCCTGCCAATATTGGCCTGCCAATATTGGGCTGCCAATATTGGCCTGCCAATATTGCAATGATGCTCAACAACAGAAGCCAGCCAGATGGAAACAACCACCGATCAGAATTTTAACCGCATAAAGGTGTACTAGCACTGTGCGGTTCATGACTTTTCTGTCATGTCACTGTTGTCTTGGACATCGGTCGACAATCTTGCATGCAGCAAAATGGCGTTCCTTGCATCACATGGTTTGTCCCAAGATTTTTTTGAATATATAATATATTGTTTCATGATGTTTCATGCACGTTGTCGGCTGCTTGAGCGGCGTCATCATCGCAGTGATTTTGCATGTTGTTCCTGTTGTTTCTGTTTCTCCTCGATTGTCACTTGTTCCCTTTCTTTTCTCACCACCACATCTCCACCCTGTGACATCTATGATTTGCGTGCAGCAATCAATCTACCGATCAAAACATCAGTTGGCTCAAAGTACTAAGAATCCTCTTGTTTTTCTGTCGAATCATGCCAAGAATGGCAATATCAAAGTATCAAACCCGTTTTTATCTTTGGTGACTGTGAAACGATGTGCTATAATTCATTGGGCCTCCAAAAGTTCTTCCGCTCGTTTCAACGCATTCTCAGGTTTCACGAAGCTGGTCATGCCTTGACATATTTCGGGCGATGCGGCAGATTCATCAACTGCATTTGGAAAATAAACAGATCGGAACTCGAGCCTCCGACAACAAAATTCACTCGCTCGGGCCAAGATTCGAAGGGCCTGCCAAAAATAACAAAGTCTCAATTCCCGGAATTTTCCGAATTCCACCTCCCAATCACACATGGGAAACATTGAATATTGCATTCGGACCTTGAAACGGAAGTGGAAGCTACACAAATGCTGCGTAGCTGCGGGCTGTATTGGGCCGCACTTCTATTACATGCTGTGATGAAACATGATGCGATCGCTGTGATGGCAATGCATCCAAATTGCACTAGGGGTGCATGGACTTGGCATGTTTTTTTGAGGAAAATTTACTGCCACAGTTTCATTGGGTGCGCGTGATGAGTTTCCAAGTTGCCCCCATTTTGTGCACCAACTGCCCAACACAGGACGAATGGGGTCTGACCATCTAAATCTGAGTATTGCCAAACTCTGTCAAAACCCCTATGATATACAAGAAATCTGGTAAAAGTTGAACAGATTCAATTCACAAGTTCATGGTCTTGGCACACCAAAAAAAACATCCAAAAAACGATATTATAATTGCACATCTACGCAGCATTGGATTTTTAGCAGTTCGGGTGATCGCCGCCATGCTAGAAACACTCTCACAAAAAATGATGACACGCAATTACTTTATCCTGACGTGACTTTTGACATATGTTCGGTTATTTTCCTTGAGACACTATTTGAGGTCCATTCTCGCATGTACTTTGCCATTTACTCTGACATTTAGTATGCTAGTTCATATGTTTGATATATTATGACAGATGTATTGTAGGACTTTTGACATTTTGACATTTTGACATTTGCTCGGGCATATGTATTTGACATATATTCCGAAATCAACTCTGACATTTGACGTTTGTTTCCTCATATTCGCACAGTGAGGAGGTCTGAGCACACACAATCCAATGGGGCAGCTCGCCGGCCTGGTATGGGACCAAGGGGCAGCAAGCGAGGATGGGGAGACGGGGAGGGATGGGGAAGGAAAGGGGAGAAAATTCGAGGAACGGGGGTATATGACCTTCAAACTTTCCACGAATTCAAGGATCCTAGTCCCTGTTTATTACTGATAGCTTGTGAAAAGATTGAAGCAGTTTCAACTAGCGTGAGCTAACTTTTGCAAATTGTTGAAAAATTGTCTCACATTGTATCATTACTCCATTTCTCTCTCTCTCTCTATATATATATATATGTTTGACCATCGCTCTGCCTCCTTTTGTCCCTGTTCCCAGCCTTTGCTAAGGTGCTCTGGCTTGTCTGCACTAGCCACGGGGCCAAAAAGATCCAAGCGTAATCTCACAAAAAAGGATGCAGCATCAAAAGCGCTACAATCAAAAGAGAATGGATCAGGCCCTTTCCGGGTGGCATGGGGGCGGGCCCAGAAAGCTCTAGGCGCCACTCAGGTAAAACATGAGATCATGTTTGACCATCGCTCTGCCTCCTTTTGTCCCTGTTCCCAGCCTTTGCTAAGGTGCTCTGGCTTGTCTGCACTAGCCACGGGGCCAAAAAGATCCAAGCGTAATCTCACAAAAAAGGATGCAGCATCAAAAGCGCTACAATCAAAAGAGAATGGATCAGGCCCTTTCCACCTTTGCGTGTGTGCCGGCAACGGGTGGCGTAAGCGCTCGTTCGAGCAACACCGTGGCCAAGGAAAACTCCCGTGGGATTTCAAGAAATCGACAGACTGGCATCGAAAAGTGAACTGGCTGCAAAAACGGCGTTGCGACTCTGTACAGAGAGTTGCATGGTGACAGCTTCAGCACCCACCTCTTGTAAATAGTGCTGAAGGGTTTCTAAATTCTTCAACCTCATTCTCCAAAGCAAACGGTTGATGTCTTCATTTTCACGGTAACATCTAACCGCTCCGCCTCCCCTCATAGATGCAGGGGTTAACCCTAGGTTATATGGCACACTAAGTTTCTGCAGCAACAAGTCCCATCTTCGACGGAACGTGACTGGAGAACCTGGGTAAACTCTCTGCTTCAAAGGTAGCTGTTTCAGAACTCGCTCCAGAAACTTGACTGCTAAAGGATGCGAAATCGTGGCATGCTGAACTAAACCGAGGCCTCGGAGTCTGGACTTCGGCTTCTTGATCCGCAAGTACGCTCGATCCATCTGTTCAGACAACAAATCCGAAGGCAGCAGTACATCTTCTCGCAAAGCACCTAAAGCTTCACCTGGCCTGCAAATTCCCTCAAAACTCAGAATCATGACGCAAGCAAAACGAAACCACTGCAAGTTTATTGCAAAAGCTACCATAGCCTTATAAATAGCCCAAGGAAGAGGTGTGCGATGGCAAACAGGTTCTACTGTTTCCCACTTCTTTATCACATCCCAGGAACAATTCAATTGGCTTCGCAAACGGGGATCTGTACGCTGGGCAAAGGTTACCAGCTGTCTCATCATGTAAAGACTCTGACCGTTTTGGAAGAGGTGTCGCCCAAATTCTGCTAAAAGAAGATCCAGGGTAGAAGGGCAAAGTACTAGTTCTTCCGCAAAAACATTTCCGACTTTACCACTAAGCCAACGGAGAAAACCATCCCAGATGTTACGACCCAAACGGTCTGTAGCAGCAGTTACAAGTTTCACATCAGCTAAGTCCACATTGGCTCGAGCTGTTGTGGGCTTCTGTCGAGGTCCTGGATGCTGAGCTTCACCAATCCTGCTGTGGTCGCAACGCGAGATCAGGCTGAAGTCAATTTGTCTGCGATCAGGAAGCAATCCGCAGTCGATGAGCATAGCTTTGGCCAAATAGAAGCACAGCCTCTTCGGATAGGTCTGCGCTACCCGAGTCCAGCTTCTGCCATGCACTTTCGACCACCCAGACAAGCGAAGGTGGGTATGATCACGACTGCACCAAAACTTCTGTCCTCGCAGATGAGTGCTCGTCAAAAAACGAGAGCGCTTGCGCCACTTGGTCCCCAGTGTGCAGTAGTCCAAACGGAACACTTGGGAAGCTGTCCTAGCGCCCAGCTCGACGAACTCGTCCAGGTACCAGAGAAAGCTACCGTCAGGATTTTCAACCCAAAAGTGTATCTTGAGTTCTATGCACACTTGAAGTAGGTGGGCAAGCCACTGGGCATGACGGTTGCCCAGTTTTACTTTTTCCTCCATCTTCCGACTGAGGTTGGGCAATCCGTAAGGCAAGGAGGCACTCCTTACGGGTGGTCTGACTGCTCGAGAAAAGGAGGAGCAGAAAATCGCAGCTCCCAGCCCGAGAATGAAGCCGCTTCGGAGGAGCCTCTCAATGAGGCTTTTGTTCTGCTCGCTCAGCACGTCTTGATTCGGTCCATCCTCCAGTTCGAAGGTGATGACCCAGGTGTCTGTCAAGGATACGAGGGCTTTAGCTACACCTTTCTTCCCAGAGTAAAGATCCAGAAAACCTGGAGTGCTGGGCCGCCAGTCCTCATCCATTTTGCCTCGCAGATGCGCAGGCAAAACAAACTGCTCAAGGGGAACTTCATGAAGAATGCCACGCTTTTCCTTTGTCGACGCTTGCACTGCGCCCGGACCCAAAGATGAGTCACTCGGAAGTGGTACCTCCGGACCCCGTACTGCAGTAGTGGGAGACAATCCACCCTGCACTGAGCTCGAAGAACTAGGCACGCAAGGTCCACTTCCGACTGACTCACCTGGATCAGCAGGGGCTCGCAGCCTCATAGGTTCTGGCACTTCTGGGAGCTCAGCAAGGTCTTCAGACAAGCCGCAAGGAGCTCCTTGTAGCTCTTGAAGATCTGGAAGCCCTGAGGTGGCGTAGGTGTCAACATTGTAAGATTCCAGCCACTGGTCAAAGGCTGAAATGTCTCCTTGGGCAGCTGAATGAAAAACATCAGGTAGAGCAGCTTCAGGGCTTCGGACACGCTGCCCTCTAGTCGGATCGTCTGCCGTGTTGATCTCTGACGGCACGTATCCGCAGTTGCTGTACATGCCGCATCCTAAGTGGATCCCGAGGCTCTGCTGGAGCTCCTGGTTGAGGCCAAAAGAACTAGACCTTCCTTTCACCCAAGCCCCAAGAGCGACCTGAGAGTCGGCTAAGCTGAAAACACGTGCAGGAAAGTGAGTCTTCGCCGCTTCTGCTTCGGCTTTTAACATCCCACGCATCTCCAGAATATTGATATGCCGACCGGGAGGCATAGCTTTTCGACAAACCTCCTTGTATCGCAAGGCTGAGGCTAGTACAATCCACAAGGGATGGCTGGCAAGCATCTGTCCTTCTGGTAGTTCTTCGGCCGGAGAAAGGACTCCTTTTATACGCTGCAGTGACTTCAAGGGAGACAATAGATGAACCCACACTGACTTCCGGAGCTTGTGTCTGTGGATCTCTCCTTGTAGCCAACTCGGCAAGGGAGCGCGAGTGACTCCGATGCCCCACTCTGAAGCATCGCTGCAGTAAACATGTTCTGCGTTCTCTACTTTTAAGTTCGTCGCAGCTAAGGGGGCTAGACTAAGGCACATAAACAGTTCTTCTTTCAGCTCCGGTGACAACCGGATTACATGGTTCCTTGCAAATTCACCATGCCCAGCTTGATAAACCAGATTCAGCAGAGAAAGCAAACGCCTACGAAAAAGAAATATTGAAGTCCAGGCTCCTGTGAGGATCTCCAAAAGGCTTATGCTGCAGACTCCCATCTTCAAAACACGGGCTGTGACCGCAATCACAGGAATGCTTCGCTTGAGGTTTGCCATGCATAGTCCGTGCAATCCATCGAATTGGCAGCCCCAAAACTCACTGTCAGCCTGTTCGAAAAAGGTCTTGTCCGGGTGAGGCAGCAATCCAACTCGCTTGTACTCGCCAAGCGCTTCTTCCAGGAAGGCTCTGCCTGCACGAGAGGTCACTGGGGATTGATGGAAAACACTTTTCAGCATAACTTCAAACACCACCAGATCGTCTATGACGATTCCTGCAAAGCTTTTCTCCCTGGGTATTGCCAAATCCATACTCACCAGATTATTTTTGTTGATAAGTCCAGATTGAACGAGGATGCCCAGGTGTGCGGTCTGTGCAATTTCGACCGCTTGTGCATCCCCCATAGCCAGGGTATTCAGACTAAAAAAGACCCGACGCCCTTGATGAACTTTGGGATCATAGCATTTGAAATCAGCATAGTCATCAGCCCAAACAGAATTAACCAAACTGTTCCGCACCAGACGTTCTGAAGAAATATGGAAGCTATAGTAAAAATCCCTTAAGTCCGTAGAGCTCACGAGGCAAACCTCGTCTTCACGCAATTGAAGGTCTAACAGTGGGTTGGTCGAGGCCATGGCTTTGACCCATCTACCCAGAGGCTGTTCTAGAGTATTGAAAGGTCTTGAATCAAAAATAAGACGGTCTGCTTTCAGGTTCTTGATAACGCTAAACAGTCCTGCTTGGTAACCTGTCAACACTTCTGCTTCATCAACCATGCCCAAACGACCACATGCATCCAACTTGCGGAAGAGCTTGTCTCTCTCTGTGTTGCTTGCATGTATCTTGACTGGTGGTGGTTCCACAATTGCTTCCTCTGGAGCCAAAGCATTCTGAATAGGGTGCTCAAAAATAGACCGGCTTCGCTCATCCAAATACGGCGATGGACTGAAAGAAGGTTTGTCTGGAAATTCAAGTCGATCGCTCTGTATCGGTTTAGCTGCAACAGTGCTTGTGGTTCGAGAACTGCCTATCCACTCCCCGATGGGCACACGCTGCAACCCTGGAGCAAAGCCTTGTTTCCTTCTTCGACTGTTACTCATGTTGCTAGGTTTTCCCTCGACATTAGTACCAAACAAAATATCAGTAGCAACACTTTCAAAAGAACCAAGTTGATTCAAAACAACTTCAATATCTTCAACTTTGGACGCCGTCCTTCCCATGTCTGCAGCTGTCACCTCCGGTGCATTTTTCCAAGCCAGCATCGTCCGCTCCATCTGCCGAACAGCCTTCCACTGCAAGCTGCTAAGTTTCTGCCCAAAACAAATCTCAGGTGGTGCTACTGCTGCTCTACGTAAATGAAGCCAATTCAGAACTAGGATAGCCAAACACAACCCTCTCTGAAAACTTCGTTCACCAGGAGAAACATCACCTAGAGATTCGGCACGAAAACAGCTCTGATACGGCAGAGGCATGGGGAAAATGCTAACCGTACTCCTCGACGTCAAGGATGTGACTGGTTTCCGGAACAGGGATTTGAAAAATGATTTCAAGCTTCCTGACGTCTGCAAGAGGCTTCGACATGCACTGTCCCACCAGGCTTGAACCCTAACTGTGCTGGCTCTAGCTCCAGGGACTCTCGGCACGGATTGCTGAGACTGTTGCTGCTGGCTCGAGCTGGGTCCTTCAGACGCAGGCTTCAAACGCTGCGAGCTGGAGGAAATCAAAGACTGATCATCCACTTTCAGTTGCTGGGAGCAGCGGGCTGCTGCTCCGTCTTGTTGCCTTTCCCATCTTTCCCTTTTCCTGCCTTCTTCTTCGGCTTGGGGTCTGCCTCGACATCCTCTTGGTTGCCACCACCTCCTTTTCGCGACTTGCCCAGTTTCGCTTTCCGCTCGGCATACTCGTCCAGCTCCTTCACGCGATACATCACTGCATCTACCCAGCGGCTGTCGAGCAACTTTGTGTGAGGAGCTTCTTGGAAATCGGGAGCTGCATGTCGAGCAAAGGAAGAAAAAGGTGGAGGCGCTTCTAGAGCTAGCTCCGAGGCAATCAACCACTGCCCCCTGTCGCAAGCTACTTGATCCAACATCGCCAACAGAAGAGCGAGGCGAGTCTGCCCCTCTTGGACCTTCCCACAGCGTATGGCATCCAGCGCCCCAGCAACGCACCACAAAATTCTCACCGTGGCCGCTATGTTGGGAATGTGGCTGCGATGCTCCAGCCAACCCCGGAAGCTGCCCTGACGTGGAGGCTCCCCGGGCATGAGCTCGCGAGACCCAAAGTCTTCGAGCATCTTCTTTTCGATCACCTGGTAGAGCTCTCCAGGCTGCTCGACCAAGCTCTTCTTCAGCGCTGTCAGGATGGCAGCTTGTCTCCTGTGAGTCCCCAAACCGGAACTGGAACTGGCTCCCACTTCGTAGCCAGCAGTATCGTCCAACATCTCCTCCAGATTCTTGGCTTTCTTCTTTCCAGCAAGAGCTTCGGCTATGCTGGTCAGTCGCACCAGAGCTGCAGCCACTGGATCGGCAGGCAGAGCTTGAACAGGATCTCCAGAGGCTGATAGCCCTGGAGGCTCTTCTTTCTCTTCTCCGTCTGTCTCTCCTAACACATCCAGATGAGCAGCCACGTTCTTCTTCGGAAAATCGCCCAACTTGCTTGGAGTCTTTTGAACCATCTGACTCATAGCCCGAAGGGCATCTGGAGTCACCCCGCTGGCCAATGCTGAATGGACTACGCTCGGATCCAGCCCAGGATAGGCCGGAGGAGCCACAGGCGTCTTTGCGGCAGCTTTCACATCTGAAGCAGCCTGGCTTCTGGAAGACAAAGGTTGACCATCGATGATAACCCGGAGGCTCTCTTGAATGCCTTCGAGACTGGCCTCCAAAGCTGCCAATCGCTTTCCATGAGATTCGTCTCCTTCTGCAGGATGATGGGCTGATTCGGCAGTGAGGAAGGAGAACTTGTCGTCGGCAACTGACACAAGTCCGTCTGCGAAGGGTAGAACTTGGAGGCTTTCGTCTTCGGTCCAAAACCCCACCGCCTCTCCCCCGTCTAGATCTTGCAAGATGGAGACACATGCTTCAAAGGTAGGGGACAGATAGCCAACCCAGCAGCGAGTAAACACCCCTTCCAGGCTGGTAATCCGATCTTCGAAAGTGCAGGCAGCAACAGCAACACTGAGTGGTTTGATCAGGCTCTTTGGCAGCAACAAACGTTGAGCAACAGTACGGTGCCAGGCGGCGCCAGGAACAGCAACCAAAAATTTGGAGTCCACCTCCGAAATCAAAATAATACAAAACTTTGACTCTTCAACTTCAGTACTAGGTGGCACTGTGAAAAGTCCTAAAGAGTATTCTGGATCAGCAGTGAAATTCTCTTGATTCACCAAGGCCGACCTGAGCTCCTGATGATGGAGCTCCGCAAGTTCTTGAGGATTAGCCATCAAAAGGCTGAGCTGGGACGGTCAATCCGGCTTCCTCAGCACAGCAAACAGCGTCCTCCCAAGTGGGTAAGCCCACAAACAGGCTCTGCTTGAATCCTCCTTGGTCTCGCACAACCTTCTCAGCTTCTGACCAGGATGTGTAAATGCGCACTGGATCAAAAACGGTGCCTCTAGCAGATCGAGCTACTAAATACACCTCAGATCTCTCTTTCAACTCAGCCCTCCCAGACTTGCCTCTGCGCTGGCCAGCAAGCGAATTGCGCAGCCAATTCCCGATGCCAAGCAGCTTGGCAAAACGAACAGCCTGAGCACCACCTTGATCACGTGGAGCAGGGCGGCCCGAAGTCGCCGAAGTTGCCTGGTCAGCAGCAGGTGACGGAGGCTCGTCAACTAACTCAAATCCGGCAATTGATTCAGCTGAGGAAAGGCGAGCTTCCACGGCTCGCAAAGCTTGGCGAAGCGATGCAACCTCTCTTTCTAGCTCAACTACACGAACCTCTAGAGTAGCAACAGTGGAGGTAGATGAGGTAGAGCGGCGCATACACCCAGCTAGATATCCCGATACAAGGTGTGCTTGGAGTTGGGAGTAATCAACCTAGATCTCAGCCAGATAGTCCACGCTTGCCGCAAGGTCAACAAAAGCTCCAAAAATGGAAGTACAAACAGCCCAATGAAAATGCCAAGGCCCAAAATGCAAAGCTCTCGTTCAGATAGATCCAAGAAGCCCAGTATCACAGGGCAATTGCAATCCAGTTGAGGTATAGCTGGCAATGGTTCAGGAACTGTGTGGACAGTGCTGGCAAAATCGTGAAGCAGGCTAAACAGCAAGGATGATATGCCGCCCCCAGCAAAACCGAGTGAAAGAACACGGGGGTGATTGGCCATACACTCACTTGACCCAGAAAGCTCTAGGCGCCACTCAGGTAAAACATGAGATCATATATATCTCTCTCTCTTTTTATGTCAAAAGGTTCTTGTTTTTCAAGGGGTTACTGTGGTTCCCCTATTCCTTGTCTTCCATTGTTGCCTAATTTTCCTTTCCCATTTATTTTCTACTGGTCCCGTGTATTTGTTACCCATGTCATTCTCTTTCGCTTGTCACCCCCTTATGACAAGGTAGGATGAATCAAAATCAATAAAGCAACCCCTATTAGAAAATGACCCTGGCCACTCACATTTTGGGCAATACTGAAAACAACTACGCGCTTTTTAATTATCAAGAATGGCGCGCCCACCCCCTATTCCTAAATACACTCTCCCAACCCCAGTGGTACTAGTTTAGTATTATTCCCCTTTCTTTGTTATTGGGACTACTATTTTCAAGATTGCTTACTGGCTTACTTACTGACTTACTTGCTTACTTGCTTACTTACTTACGTATTTACTTACTGACCCTTCCCAATCTCAACCCTTCGTTGTTTCTTCTCCCGCTTGTGTTTCCCATGTCCATTGACCTTGGTGATGACCCTGGTGCTGAGGGGTCTGTCTTGCTGAAATTAGCTTCACGTTAGCATCCATGACATCAGGAGAAAACTTGTTGAAATCAGCTCAGGAATTAGCATGTTAGAATATACGTCAGAAAGAATGCCGAATAGAAAAACACAATATATGCCAGATAGAATGCCAGATAGAATGTCAGATGAAATGTCAGATAGAATAATGTCACAATATATGTGAGACAGAACGCATATTTACGATTCTCCCCACGGGAATAAGTCATATTCTGTGCTTTTCTGGTAGCGCGAAGATAGTGAACGTAGTTCCCCCCGGGCAAAGGGACATGCCGGACATGCATGGGAAAAAGTTCTTTGCTGGAGGGGTTTTCATTTTGCTCAGCATTCTGTCCGTCGATGCTTGGTTTTCGCTCCCTTTGCAGCAAAGATCAGCGAAGCAAACTGAACGATAACACAGGCATAGGATATGCACCAGCGTGAACGGACAGGTGGGGAGATAGCTTGGGAAGAGGTCTGCTGGGAGGGAGCGGCACTGAAAATGCGGAGCTGTTGGCACGGGTTTTACACAGAGCAGCTTTTACACAGAGGAGCATTACACAGAGGAGCTTTACACAGAGGATCTCTTACACAGAGAAGCTTGTACACAGGGAGGACTTTACACACAGAATCTTTTTCACAGAGAAACTTTTACACAGGAAAGGTTTTACACACAGAAGCTTTTACACAGAGAAGTCTTTATACAGAGTAGTTTTGACACAGAGAAGCTTGTACACACAGAGGAGCTTTTACACACAGACGCTTTTACACAAAGAAACTTTTACACAGAGCAGCTTTTACACACAGAAACGCTTACACACAGAGGGGTTTTACACACGGAAGCTTTTAAACACAGAAGCTTTTACACGGGAAAGCCTTTAGACAGAGAAGCTCTTACACACAGAAGTGTTTACGCAAAAGCGTTTACACAGAAGCTTTTACACACAGGCGCGTTTACACAGGAGCGTTTACACATGGATGCGTTTACACACAGAAGCCTCCACACACAGAAGCTTTTACGCAGAGTAGCTTTTACACAGAGAAGTCTTTAGACAGAGTTACACAAAGGAGATTTACACAGAAACTTTTACACACAGACGCGTTTACACACAGGAAGTTTTACACACAGAAGCATTTACGGCGCACAGAAACTTTTACACAGAGCAGCTTTTACACACAGAAGCTTTTTCACAAAGAATTCTTTATACAGAGAAATTTTTACACACAGAGGCTTTTGCACAAGGAAACTTTTACACAGGAAAGCTTTTACGCACAGACGGGTTTGCACAGATAAGTCGTTACACAGAGGGTTTTTTGCACACAAAGTGTTTACACACAAAAAACGTTTAGGCACAGAGAAGCTTTCACACGCAGAAGCTTCTGCACGGGAAAGCCTTTACACAGAGAAGCTCTTACACACACAGAAGCTTCTACACTCAAAAGTTGTTACACAAAAAAACCCTTGCACAGAAACTTTTACACAGAAAATTTGACACACAGACGCGTTTACACAGAGGAGTCTTGACACAAGAACGCGTTTACACACAGAAGCCTTTACGCACAGAAGCTTTTTTGCACAGAGCAGCTTTTACACACAGAAGTCTTTACACAGAGAAGTCTTGAGACAGAGGAGAAGCCTGTACACACAAAGGTTTTTACAGAGAGAAGCCTTTTGTACAGAGAAGTCTTGACACAGAGGAGCTTTTACGCAGGGAAGTCCTTAGACAAAGGAGATTTACACACAGACACGTCTACACACAGAAAGTTTTACAAAAAGACGCTCTTTCGGCGCACAGAAACTTTTACACAGAGCAGCTTGTACACACAGAAGCTTTTACACAAATAAAAGGACCGGATAACCCCACAAGTCAATTTCTTCCAATAATGAGCCAGAAATGGTGTAGCGGGGACGGGGAAGGAAGGAAAGCCAAAGGAGAAGGTGGAGGAAAGATGGTGTGTGAAAGAGGGTGTTTGACAAAGTGGTGTGAAAGATGGTGTGTGATAAAGTGATGTGTCAAAGATGGTGTGTGACAAAGTTGTGTGTGAAAGATGGCGTGTGAAAGATGGTCTGTAGCGGTGTAGGAAAGATGGTGTGTGTGTGTGTGACAAAGTGGTGTGTGAAAGATGGTGTGTGAGAAAGTTGTGTGAAAGATGGTGTGTGATAAAGTGATGTGTCAAAGATGGTGTGTGACAAAGTTGTGTGTGAAAGATGGCGTGTGAAAGATGGTCTGTAACGGTGTAGGAAAGATGGTGTGTGTGTGTGTGACAAAGTGGTGTGTGAAAGATGGTGTGTGAGAAAGTTGTGTGAAAGATGGTGTGTGATAAAGTGATGTGTCAAAGATGGTGTGTGACAAAGTTGTGTGTGAAAGATGGTGTGTGACAAAGTTGTGTGTGAAAGATGGAGTGTGAAAGATGGTCTGTAACGGTGTAGGAAAGATGGTGTGTGTGTGTGTGTGACAAAGTGGTGTGTGAAAGGTGGTGTGAGAAAGTTGTGTGAAAGATGGTGTGTGATAAAGTGGTGTGTGAAAGGTGGTGTGTGACAAAGTTGTGTGTGAAAGATGGTGTGTGACAAAGTTGTGTGTGAAAGGTGATGTGTGTGAAAGATCGTGTGTGACAAAGTTGTGTGTGAAAGATGGTGTGTGAAAGATGGTGTGTCACAAAAATGTGTGTGAAAGATGGTGTGTGACAAAGTGGTGTGTGAAAGATGGTGTGTCGAATATGATGTGAAAGATGGTGGGTGACAAAGTTGTGTGTGAAAGATGGTGTGTAAAAGATGGTGTGTCAAAGATGGTGCGTGAACGATGGTCTGTAAAAGATGGTGTGTCAAAGATGGTGTGTGAAAGATGGTGTGCGACAAAGCGGTGTGTGAAAGATGGTGTGTGACAAAGTGGTGTGTCAAGGATGGTGCGTGACAAAGTTGGGTGTGAAAGATAGTGTGTGAAAGCTGTGTGTGAAAGAAACCGTGTGGCAAAGATGGTGTGTGAAAGATGGTGTGCCCAGAACTCCTCCAGGAGGCCACACGAAAGCCGGCCGCCAGCGGCGGCCACCCGCGCCGCAGCTCCGCCAGGCGGCTCTGTGTACTGCGCCTGCCACACGAAAGGCAGCCGCGGGCCAGCGGCGGCCACGCGCGCCCGCAGCTCGTCCACTTCGACAACCCCCTTTTGTAACCTAGGTTGCATCCAGTTATAACTAGGCTCACAACTCAGCTAAGATACAATTGTAACTCCATAACCTGTGTTTTAAAGTTATGAGAGTTATCATCCGATTTTATCATCCGATTTGTATACATCTTATTTAGATTGCCAAGCATGGACATTTGATCAGTTAAAGACAAGTTGCCAAAAAAATAAGCGTGCTCATATATTTTTTAATTTCTTTGTTTGTATGTTCTGTGAAATGATAGGGAAATTGTATTTAACAATAAAAGGACCGGATAACCCCACAAGTCAACTTCTTCCAATAATGAGCCAGAAATCTTGTAGCGGGGACGGGGAAGGAAGGAAAGACAAAGGGACAGGTCCGGGACAGGTGGAGGAAAGATGATGTGTGACAAAGTTGTGTGTGTGAAAGATGATGTGGTGAAAGATGGTGTGTGACAAAGTGGTGTGTGAAGGATGGTGTGTGAAAGATGGTCTGTGACGGTCTAGGAAAGATGGTGTGTGACAAAGTGATGTGTCAAAGATGGTGTGTGACAAAGTTGTGTGTGAAAGATGGCGTGTGAAAGATGGTCTGTAACGGTGTAGGAAAGATGGTGTGTGTGACAAAGTGGTGTGTCAAAGATAGTGTGTGACAAAGTTGTGTGAAAGATGGTGTGTGATAAAGTGATGTGTCAAAGATGGTGTGTGACAAAGTTGTGTGTGAAAGATGGCGTGTAAAAGATGGTGTGTGACAAAGTCAAGTGTGACAGAGGATGTGTAAAGGATGGTGTGTCAGAGATGGCGCATGAAAGATGGAATGTGAAAGATGGTGGGTGACAAAGTTGGTATGTGAAAGATGGTGTATAAAAGATTGCGTGTAAAAGATGGTGTGTCAAAGATGGTTTGACAAAGAT